TTATGTAGCTCAGGCTACACTTGAACTTACTTAGCATCCTCCTGCCTTAGCCTCCTGTGTGGGGATTACAGAAATGCACTAATATGCCTGGGCTTCCCAGAACTCTTTCAACTGCCTGGCCCTCTCCTTTGAAAGCAGTAAAGCCTCAAGACTGCAAGCCTCAAAGTAGGCCCCGCTACCCTCAGTCCCCGGCGACCTTCTCACCTCCGTGGGGGGTCAGAGCCCAGGGAGAGGGAGCCCTTAAGCAGCGAGGCCATTCTGAGATGCAGCCCTTTGTCCTGCACAGCACGCAGGGAGCACCTCGCCGGCTCTGTGTCAGTACAGGCCTGCATATGAAGCCTGTCTCGCCAGGTGTCTGCATGAAGTTACACAACCACTGCGAGGCCAGGGACCCTCATCCACCAAGTGGGGACAACAAGAGGGCTCGCGCAGAGGGAGGCAGCAGAGATCAAATGAGGGATGGATGATGAGGCCTGTATACCAGGTCCTGGAGCCACAGACAGGCAGGGGTCTAAAGAGGCTGTGGCGTGGTACAGGGTAGAAAGATGACAGCCTTATGGGGAGACATCTAGCAGACTGGCAAGAAAAAAAAAATTAAACTGGGCATGGTGGCACACACCTATAATCCCAGTACAGTACCCAGAGGCTGAGGCAGGAGGATTGCTGCAAGCCTGAGGCCAGCCTAGTTCCCAAAGTGAGTTCAAGGCCAGCCTGAAGCATACAGTGAGATCCTGTCTCGGAGAAAACCGAAACGTGCAACCAGGGAATTAGCTCAGTGGCACTGCACCTGCCTTACAAGCACAAGGTCCTAAATTTGAGCTCCAATACCAACAAAACAAAACAAAACCCAAAACATTTTTTCTTTAAATATGCCTGTAATCTCAGGCTGAGGAAGAAGAAGTTCGCGCCCAGCCTGGGCAACTTAGTGACTTGGTGACCCCATCTCAAAATGAGAAATAAAAGGCTATGAAGTAGCTCAATGCAAAGGTCCTGGATTCAATCTCAGTACAGAAAAAAAAAAAAAAAAAAAAACCCATCTCAAAATGAGAAATAAAAGGCTATGAAGTAGCTCAATGCAAAGGTCCTGGATTCAATCTCAGTAAAAAAAAAAAAAAAAAAAAAAAATCATAAGGCAATAAGAAAAACACATGAAAGAACTGAAACTTTTTCTAGAATCTCCTTACCAGATAGACTGGACAGTACAAAGGAAAAGAATCACGCAAGGTCTAAGACCTGGGACATCATAAGTGATAAGTAAGCGTTAATTGCTATTTTCAGTACATTACTAGCAGCAATACTATACTCTCCACCAATACTATACTCTCCACCGTTACTGTTACAATCCTGGCAGTGGCTTGGCTACAGAAATATCTGGAGAAGAGCTTTGGCTGAATTAAGCCTGAGAGCACCAACACAAAGACCCGCCGCTCCATGGCTCACACAGCAGGCACAAGTCCACCTGCACCTCTCTGCAAGGACAAATGAGAGGAATCATGGAACGTCACCCATCCTGACTCCGCTGCCCCTGGCATCGCCCGCTTGGGATAAGAAAGGTAGACTGCGTGTTGCATGTAACGAGCACTGGAACTGTTTACTAGGTCAACCTGAGCTCGTTATTTAACTTCTCATGTGCTGGAGCCCTCATACAAAACTGGGCAAAATCATAAAACCGACCTCCTGGTGTGGTTGGACAAGTACAAGTACATGAGTCAGTCTTAAAACTGCAGCTAATGTGAATTCTCTGTACTGCAAAGCCTGTCTCATCTCCAGACTGTGCTCGAGACACCCTAATCTCAAAATAAACAAATTTCAAAAGGGCTAGGGATATAGTTCAGCGCAAAGTCCCTGGGTTCAATCCCTAGTATCGCGATCAAACAAAAGAGAGAGAGACAGAGAAAGCAAGGCCATACAGTCCCTAGCCCTCAGGTATAGATCTGGCCAGCAGCTTTACCACTAATGCCCTCTGACTGAGACAGGTCAACAGCGATTTGAGCTGTAACCATATTTGGAGGTTTCAAAGTGAAGACTACTTGAAATACGAAGCACCTGAAATAAAAACTTGAGGGGCGTGGGTGCATGCCTATGATCCAGCACTCAGAAGGTTGAGGCAGGATTACTACCAAGAGTTTGAGACCAGCCTTAACTGCAGAGCAAGAGCCTATCTCAAAACAAAAAACAAAAAAACATGAATCTTTGGACAGTGCTCACTCAGTATTGGCTGAGTGGACAGAAAGTCATTCTAAACGGAAGTGCCCTTCTCCAGCAGTCCTTGAAGAGCTGGCCAGGAACACATTGTTACTGATAATCTACTCCCTGCCACTTTCTGAGCACTTTCTACATACCAGGAGTCAAACAAGACACCTCCACACGACTTTCAAGTCTTAACCACCCTGCAAGAGGGGAGCTACTGTTAGCCCCATTTCAAGAGGAGGAAAGTGAGGCCAAGGAGGATAGGTGACCTGTGGTCACACAGCATCAGCCAGCACAGCCACTAGTCCTTTTGCTGAGGGCTGTCATGGCACAAGGCCCCTTCTCCCCAGGCCCTCACCTGTTGAACTCTGGAAGCTTCTGCAGGTCCAGCAGGGCTGAGTGGCAGGAGATCCGGCTCAGGTCAAACTGCGCGATCAGCTCTGGCAGGGTCCTGCCCATCTGGTTCTCTGGAAATGAGGCCATCAGCCATTCAGCTTCTGGCCTCCCTTGCTCTTTCATTTCTTTTGCCTCTCTTTTTAAGGGCATCTAGAGTTTTGCTATGATGCCCAAGCTACTCTCATGTTCCTGGACTCAGAGGATCCTTCCACCTCAGCCTCTTGAGTGCTGGGACCAGGTAAACAGCATGTGTGCCCCTCCCCACTTTTTGTGTGCTCCTGGGGATTGAAACCACTTTACCACTGAGCTACATCCCCCAGCCCCTCTCATTTTTAATTTTGGGACAGCCTTGCAATGTTATCCAGCCTGACCTTAAACTTGTGATCCTCCTGCCTCAGCCTCCCAATTAGCAGGGATTACAGATGCATTCCACTGTGCCTGGTTCTGTCCACTTTTTCCCCTTTTTGACCTGAGAGCTTGCTATGTAGTTCAAGTTGTTCTGGAATTTGCTACGTAGCCTAGGCTCTCCTCTAACTCATGACCCTCCTGCCTCAGCTTCCCGGGTGCTAGAATTACAGGTGTGTGCTGCCATGCCAAGCTCTTCTGGCCACTTTTAAATACAAGGAAGGCCGAGTTAGAGAGTAAGCTCTGGTCTTCCCATTCTACTTTGACCTAAAGGGTTAGACTTCCAGCTACTTATATACCAAGGCTCCAAATGAGCCTTTTTGATTTCCAAAAAGGATTCGGACACGTCACAATAGGAAATAAGTCTAAAACAAATCAGGCAAAATCAATTCTCATTATCCTAAGATACACAGCTACAAGAACAGTGTGCCTGCCGCCTGGTTACACCCGAGATGCTGAACTGATTAGCTCCGAGTAAGCTCTGAACACCTGTGTTTTTTACACACTTCCTAGTGGATTCCACAGGGCAGTCACTTGGGAACTGCAGGGCTGGAAGCTGCTTCAGGTGAGAGCAGGTATTGTAATCAGGCACAGGACGCTGGCAAGTTACTCAACCTCTCTGAGCCTCACAATTCCTTACAAACAGCTGGGATAACAAGTACCTATTGCTCAAGGACATTTTAAGGGTTACCGTAGTGAGAATAAATAGTAAACAGACTATCACTGCCACATTTTCAGAAATTCCTGCCACAAGCAGCCATCCTATAAGTCATGCGCAATTCTTCCAAGTGTGGACTCTACATCCTTGGCCAAGCTCAAAGGTTTGCTGTAGAACTAACCAGATTCACAGTCCATTACAACTGTTGTGGGACATACACTTGTGCAAGTGCAGTGACCGTGCACTGAGCTGGGGCCTCCGCGAAGTCTAACTGAAGAGGTGGTGGCACACGAGACTTCCAGCTCTCGGGGGGCGGGGACTATGCCTACAGTTTTCACTGCTCAGAGCTCAGAACTCAACATGCTGACCGGTTTGATAAACATGTGCTGAATAAAATAATGAACTTGTCTAAGACCACATGGCTGGCAGGGGGCAAAGCTGCAACTCACAGCCAGGTCTGCCTGTACCAACGCCCCTGCTCTGCGCTACTCTACTCTGTCACGACCGCTCAGGTGGGTGGGTACCTGCAAACCCTGAGCCACAGTTTGTAATGATGTCGAGCAAGGCATCAGGCAGAAAGCCAGCAGCAGCAAAATGCTCCAGGAAAATGTCCCCTTGTCTCTTGGACAGCTTACTGCCATCCCTGTTGAGAAGCAGGGGCAGGTGGGCAAAGCGAGGTGGCTGCCAGCCCAGCGCCTGGTAAAGCAGCAGGTGCTTGGAGGTGGAGACGAGCCATTCGGAGCCCCGCAGGACGTGGCTGACACCCATGTGGTGGTCATCCACCACACAGGCCAGGTGGTAGGTGGGGAAGCCATCGCTCTTCAGGATGACCGGGTCCCCCTCCACACTGGCCACTCGTTGCCGGTTCCAGCCATATACCAGGTCCTCGAATGCTGGTGCCTCCTCCTCCAGGCGGAAGCGGATGGCAGGCTTGGGATTTGTGGCCAGCTTCTGGGCCACCTGCTCCTGGCTCAGGTCCCGGCACCGATTGTCATACCTGTTGGAAAGCAAAGCAGCACAAGAGCTAAGAGAACTGTTGCTGGACCAAAGCCCCACCTTTGCCTCTGACAGCTCTATGACCTGTGTAGTAATTAACCTCTTTAAGTTGCTTTCTCAGTCTAGAACGGGAGAACAAGGCTGTTATGTGAAAAACTAAGTGAGGTAATGGTATGGCAGACACTAAAGTTTGCCTAACAGCCATTACTCCCTTCTCTCTTGCTAGTAAGCAAATGGCAAAATGCTTAGACAGAGGGGCTGAATCATGATTGTTAGTCAATCTTGCCATCCCATCACCCAGTGCCACAAACCAGGCCAGGTAGGAACATGATCATACCCTAGTCACAGAGTCAAAGAAAACTACACTTATGAGGTAGGTAAGAGCTAAGGCTCTCATAAAGGGCTTTCCAAATGAAGATAAGAAAGAGCTGCAAGAAGGACCATTTCCCTTCTGAATTTCCCACTTGCACCCTTTAGTCCTCTTTGGAGAACTGTGCCCACGTGCCAGATCCACAGAAACCATAAGGCAACAAAGCTTAAAAGTAACTAACTGGGTGGGGTGTGCTAGTGAGCTATCTCGCTGCTGAGACACAATCCCTGACACCATAATTTAAGTTTTAGGGCCCAGGATTTAGCTCAGTGGTGCTGCTGCCCGCCTTGCAAGCACAAGATGCTGAGTTAGACTGCTGTACTCCCTGCCCCAAGAGAGCTTGTTTCTTTTTGTTTTTTGAAACAAGGTCTCATTATGTAGTTCAGGCTGGTCTTGAACTCACTATGTAGCCCAAGATGGCCTCCAATTCATAGCAATCCTCCTGGCTCAGCCTCCCAAGTGCTGGGATTATAGGCATGTGCCACCACGCCTACCCAGCAAAAGATTAAGAGTTTTAATTTGGTTCACATTTTTTGTTTTGTTTTGTTTTGGGTACTGGGGATCAAACTAGGAACCTTATGCTTCCAAGGCAGGCGGCGGAACCACTGAGCTAAATCCCCAGCCCTACTTCACATTTTAAGGGGATTCAGTCCATGCTCATCTGGCTCTAAGGCAGAAACACCATGGCAGAAGGGCGTGGTGAGCAAAGATGCTTCCTTCAAGGCAGCCCAGAGCGAACAGTGCCAGAGGAAAGGACAAGGGACAAGGTCACACCTCCTTGACCCACCCAAACACACCTGTAAGTGTGCTCTGCCAATCCCTGGGCATCTCCCAAGTCCAGCAAGTGGACACAATCAAGCCTTACCACCACACTGATGCTGCAGCAAAGACAACCAAGGGGAGGCATCGGGAGAGGTCGGCTCTTACCGGGGTGTCTGATGGTTCCTCAGGGCCTCCTTCTTTAGGAGTTCTAGCCGCTGTGGTGAGCAGAAACAGGGGTAGGCAGCTCCAGTATGTAGCAGTGCATCTGTGGCTTGGGCATACAGAGCTAGCCGCTGGGACTGCTGGTAGGGTCCTGCAGGACCTCCCCGCCGGGGGCTCTCATCAGGGGGGATGCCTGGGACACAGGCAGAGAATCACCACGGAATGCCCAGGATGTGCATGGCACCATTCCCAGGCATTGAGCGTTTCTTTGTTTGTTTGGTACCAGGGGTCGAACTTGGGACCTCATGCTTGCGAGGCAGGCAGTGGAACCACTGAGCTAAATCCCTGGCCCTGTTTTATGTTTTTTTCTTTTTTTTAAACACAGCATTTTATATACTGTAACTTCCATCACTCATGGCCCTGTCAAAATGTTTCATAAGAACCATGCCAAAAAGGCATTAGGTGCACAGTCATTCAATGAATAGTCAGAATCCAATAATGAATTCTGGGCATGGCAGTTACAGACCTGCAATCCCACACTTGGGAGACTAAGGCACAAGGATCACAAGTTCGAGGCCAGCTTAAACTACACAGTGAGACCCTATCTCACTCAATAAATAAAAGTTTAAAAAGGAAGGGCTTTTTTTTGTTTTTTTGAGATAAGAGTCTTGCTATGTGGCCCTGGCTACAGTCATCCTGCCTCAGCCTCTGTAGTGCTGGGACAACAGGTATGTGCCACCATGCCTGGCTAGGATGGGCTCTTTTAAAGTGCAAAGGCCCTGGGTCCAATCCCACGTACAGAAAGAAAACAGGAAAAAAGCAAGCTGGGCCCTTTAGGAACTGAGTCAAGTGAATAATCTACCTGAGATGAGAATCTTACATCTCAAAACAGTCTGTATTTTACCTCAGGGTTGTCAATTCTCACTGGTTATACCTGTCCATAGGGGTTTGTGCTGACCCAGGAAACACACACATGTACCCCTTCTTGTTCTCCCTGAGGTTAGCTGTTCTCAGGATTAAACTCCCCACAAGAAGACAGACTTCAGAGACTGAGCACATTTTGTTTGGCTCCTACTATAGTTAGCCCATTTTTTTTTTTTTTTTTTTTTTTTATTTTTTTTTTTTTTTTTGGTACTAGGGATGGAATTCTGGTTCTTTAGGAATCGAACTCTGGTTCTTGTGCTTGAGAGGCAGGTGGCAGAACCACTGAGCTAAATCCCCAGCCCTCCTACTATAGTTAAAAAAACAAAACAAAACAAAAAACTGAGCCCAGATTTAACAATGGGAAGTATTCATAAAAAAGAAACAAAGAAAACAAAGCCAAACACTGGACTCTAGACTGCTGGCTCCTCCCGGAAGCAGGAGACTGGAGAAAAGAGGCCAGCATTCCCAGAACAGCAGGGACTGGAGCTTCCCCACCCCCTGGTTTACCAAAGCCCTGCTCCCCAGCCTCCACATGGCCTGTGTTTCCTTTCCCATACCTGTGGAAAATTGACTTGAGATTCTGATATAAGAAAAGGAAGCCCAGCTACCATGCCTGCCTTCTATCACGTCTGTAGCGTGGATTGAAATTTTTTTTCTCCTTTTCCCTACTTTTACTTAGCCCAAACTCGCTCTGCAGACCTGTTTTTCCTATTTTAATAAATATGAAACTCTGCCACTATTAAAAAAAGAAAAAGAATACCAAGACAGCCTTGGCCTTTGGCTTCAAAGAGCCTAGCCTCTTTTGCTGTGGCACCTGCTGCTCCAGGCAGCTAAGATCTATCCACTCCTCCATTGTAAGCCCTGTGAAGTCTACAGCCCTTCTCCCGTTTGTTCCTTTCTTCGAGCAGGGTCTCTCCAGGCCAGGCTCACCTGCCCACTCCAGCATGTCCTCGATATTCTCCGCTGCCCCGGGCACAAGGCGGGTCTGATCTGTGTCCTCCAACCGCAGAATGAAGCTCCCCTGGTGCTTCCTCGCAAAGATGTAGTTGTAAAGGGCAGTACGGAGGCCCCCCAGGTGCAAGAAGCCTGGAGGGGGAAAGAAGAGTTCAGAGGAGAGAGGGAAAGCCAGGGCTGCTTCACAGAACACCCCAGGCCACACAAAAGCACAAGCAACTGTTGCCTGTTGCCTCTCGGGCCAGACTCATTCAGTCCTCCCTATGGCAGCAGGAGCCTGCTCTGGTTTGAGATCACATCACTGTGCAAAAGTGCTCGGGTTCGCCCCACGCCGCACACTCATCGCTCCCTTGGCATTCACCTTAAGGCCAAGGTTCACCTCAAGGAAAAAGCAGTTATTTAATGAAGCCATGTCACACACACACTCAACTCATACAAATTTAAAGATGTGTCCTGGTCAAAACAGTAAGTTAAAGGCCAGGGATTTAGCCCAGTGGCACCACACCTGCTTCTAAAGTGCAAGGTCCTGTGTTTGATTCCTGATACCAAAAAATTAAGTAAGTTAAAGTGAAAAATTTTTTAAGTGTTTTAAAATCACTTTTCCATACATATTCTATCTATATCATACAATATGGATTTTGTCTCCTTGAGGTTTTTACTTTAATTCCTATTTATTTATTGAGATAAGGTCTTACTATGTAGTTCTGGTGGCCTTGAATTCACTATGGGCCCAGGCTGGACTCAAACCTGAAGTGATCCTGCTACCTCAGCCTATTGCGTGGTGGCATAACAGACATGCATCCCCAGTCCTGGTTTGGTTAGTATTTAAAACTGGCGTTTAGTCAGACCTAGTGGTGCACACTTATAATCCCAGCACTTGGGAGGCTGAGTCAGGAGGATGAACTTCAGGTCCCAACCACCCTTGACTACATGGTGGGTTCAAGACCAGCCTGAACTACAAAATGAGACCCTGTCTTAAAACAACAACAAAAAAATATAAATTCTAACCAAAAGCAATACTTGACTCTATTGCATGTTGTTTTACCTGAGTTAAAACTCATAAGACTTTCACCTTTCTCGACTGAAAACTTAAAATTAACAGGGGCTGGGGATTAAGCTCAGTAGTTCTGCTGCCTGCCTTGCAAGTCCAAAGTCCTGAGTTCGATCCCTGGTACCAAAACAAAAAGACAAACAAACAAAAAAACAAAACCAGTTTTCCTAGGGCTATCATATTCTCCTCCCCTACTCTTCGGTCCAGCCCATGGCTCTGAGTTTCCACAGACAGCTCCTCTGCATTTCCAGGTACAGCCACAGAATAGGGAAATCTCCTCTGGGGTCCAGCAGACCCCAGTTCAGCACAGATTGTGTGGGTGACATTCGGCTAATTACTGCAAGGCCCCTCCAAAATCAGTTGTGTTCAGTAGCACTGGGTTCTAGGAATCCCACGACATAAGACTCAGGCCTAGTAATTGAAAACAAGGCCTCTTGTATCATACACACCTGGAGTCAAATCCATCATTTACTAGTTACTGTCCTCTGGGCAATCAACTTGACTTTTAAGAGTTTCAATTTCCTCAACCGTTCGAAGATTAAAAACAAAATACAGGAACTTTCCAAAATTGGGGGTAGTAGCACCACTTGTAATCCCAGTACTAGAGAGGCTGAGGCAATAGGATTTTGAGTTCAACACCCACATGGGCTACACAATAATTTAGTAAGATCCTGCTTCAAGGTAAAACACAGTAAAAAGGGATAAGAACGTAGCTCAGTGTGAAGGCTCAAGGGAGAAAAACAAAATAGGAATTTTCCTTACAATGCGGTTGCTGTGCTATCTGAACACTGGCTGAAGCACACCTTTAATTACTTTTAGCCATTACAGTGATCTGCGTTGCTTGATCATTCTGTCTGCAGCCAGGGGCATTTCCCAAATGGGCTTTTCTCACATATTAGCAAGGAGACGTAAATCACAATCACCCTGACAGAGGGCACCTTTATTAAATGCTTTCCACTTGTGCCAGCCCTTGCTAAATGGCCCCACTGCATTGGCTCAAGTCCATGCCACAGGTGCTATTATTAGCTCTGCTTGACAAACTGGGAAACCGAGGCACAGGAGGATTAAAGTACTTTGCCCAAGTTAACATCTAAGGTTTGGCAAAGACAGAAATTTGTATCTAGACAATTTCAGGCCTTGGTACTCTTCTCCCAAGTCCTTCAAAGAAAAGTGCGAAGTCTCGGGCTGGTATGTCAGCTGCTGCCAGTTGAGAACAGGTACCACAGAAACGGAGTAAAGATTTGGAAACGTAACAGTAATTTTCTCCTTTGAACCTAATAAAAAGAAATAGGCTTACATACTTTAAAAATTTACATGTTTGCCAGACATTTTGTATGTTTGCAAATTTTTTATTTTTCTAGAAATTCATTTATACTGATTTTATACAAATACTGGTCCACAGCTGAAAATTTAAAAATCACTGCTTCCACCACCGGTGGTTTGAGCAGCTCTGCTCTACACTGTCCTGCCTGCGCACAAAATTCCAGCATTCCCTACCAGCTGGGATTTTGCCACAAAGATCCTTATGTACTGACGGGAGGGGGGGGCTGGAATGTAAGGTATGCTCTGGGCTGATATTATCCTTGATAAGAAAAAAACTGCTAGGAATTGTCTGCTGGAAGGTGAGGTAGGGCTGACATGATCTCCAACAGGCCCCTTCCTTGCTACGCTTGCTAAGCTTCCAACACTAACCACAGACCCTTTGTAGCTGCCACTTCCTTTACCCAGTTTCCTTCCATAAGCTTCTTATAAAGGCGATTTTATTTTTTTGGAGACAGGGTCTCACTGTACAGTTCAGGCTGGCCTCCAACTCAGGGCAATACTACTGCCTCAGGGTCCCAAGTGTTGGGATCGTAGGCGGATGATTTTTTTTTTTTTTTGATACCAGGGATTGAACTCGGGTCCTTGCTCTTGCAAAGCAGGCCACCGAACCGCTGAGCTAAATCCCCGGCCCCAGGCGGTGATTTCTTGATAACTCTCCAGCATCCTCTTTAGCTTCTGGTCTCCAGCTTTACGTCCTGCATGGCACAGGTAACACTAAAATCATTTTTTTTTTCGGTAATGGGGACTGAACCGAAGGCCTCACGCTCTTCTTCTTTTTTAGACAGTCTGACCTAAGTTGCCCAAGCCGAGTTTAAACTTGTGAACCTTCTCCTGGCCTTCCAGAGTGCTGGATTACAGAAGCGTACCACCGTACACGGTTTTAAATTTCTTCTTATAGGTATTCGCCCGGCCACTAGAACGTAGGTTCCTTGAGAGTTGGGGTCCCAGCTTTTCAATCACCAGCAAAGGTGGCGAACCTATGGCACGCGTGCAGCCTCGGGCTGTTCGTACCATTGAAAGCCCCCTAAAAGATTCGCGTCTGTGTCCCGCCGCCTAGTAGGCTGAAGTTTATACTCAATACTTTCAATGAATGCGCTTTTTAAAAGACTGAAATAGAAGACATAGTATATACACAAACGCCTGGCGCCCGCACCTCCACTTCTGCCTCTAAGACAGGATCGCGAGCCCCTCTTCCCGCCCGCCCCTCGACACCACCGGAAGGGACCGTTCCGAGGTGCTTTGGGGGCGGGGACTGCAGCGGGCCGAGGCCTGGAGCGTTACGTCCGCCAAGGTTACCTGTGGGACTGGGGGCGAACC